TAAAAATTTATTTTATTCCTGTGATGAAAAGCTGAATTTTCAGCAGTGTCACATGATTCTTTAGAAATCATTGTAATATGCTATACTATGATAGCTTTGTGTCAAGAACAGACCAAAATGCAAGTTGTTATTCACTGATAATCTGCGATTGGATCTTTGAATAATTGAATCATTGGATCATAGGATCAGATTATTAATTGAAAAGGTCCAATGATTCATTCACCAATCAATCAGACAGTGCTACTTTACCTATTAATGTACCAATACTATATGGCTTTAGAAGGGTCGTCTAGACCACTTTGATGCCTTTGTGGTGCTTTTTCCTTTTTTAAGCTTGTAAACTTAATTGAAATTGCATAGAAGAAGAGCATGGAAAATTTCCACAAAATTTTCTCCTTGTGTGATCCGTGAGAGAAATTTTCATTTCTTAGTGAACTATTCCTTTGTCCAAAATCTGGACCTTAATTGGAAAATGATGTTCTTGTAAACATGGTTATTGATTTTGAGCTCTCTGTGATGCAATTTTCATATTAGAAAGAATCAAGAGTATAAGCATGGACTCAATTTTGACAGTTCTATTTATTTGTGAAGTCGCCATGGGTTGAATTCCTCTATTGTGTTCTTCAAAGCCCGAAACAGTCTTAACCGTGGCTATGATGCTTGACTTAGCGAGAGCTTTGATAGTGACTAAGTTAGTTTACCATTGCGGAGTGCAGCCAGCTCCGTCATCTGCTGTGAATTTGCAGATAACATTTGTTTGAGGATATCAGCAGGGATTATGTTCTTGTTTCAGCTTGGACTGGTCATCTCCGCACACTGTATTAGGAAAGCATGGGTCTTGAGCAGGAAACATGAAACAAGATGAATAATCAAATCAAAATAAAAGCTTTTCCTTCTCTGCCTCTGTTGTCAAAGCAAATCATGACTCTTAAAAAAGAGTCATGGAGCCAAGTCATTTCTTAATCACCAAGACTACTCAGTGTGTGAGTCTGGTAGTAAGATTTCATCCCGATCCCTGCCAGAGACTTCAAAGCCAAACCAATTATCCCGAACGCTTTGAACGTCTTATTCTGAAAGAAAGCTTCCATTATTTTTTTTTCCTCCACTAAAACAACCATAGCAAAAAATAGGAAATTAAATATGATTCTCTGTTGTGTTCCTCACGTAACCATCTGGGTTTCCCATCTAATAACAAAGGATCCCTTAGAGAATTGCAGGCAGGGCTATGCTACATAGATAACGTTATAATCGTTGTCAAACGTTGTTCTATTTATTTAAGATTCAATTACAAACACGTCTCATAATACTGTTCTCAAGGGGGTTCCTAAACAATTCTTGCCACTCATAATAATCTTCACATTTTATATATACAGTATATCAAAATTATGGGATTGATAGGGTCTCTTAAGCTCATCAAGGCTGCATTTAATTAAAAATACAGTAAAAAACTGTGATATTGTAAAATATTATTATAATTCTGTTTTCTATTTTAATATATTTTAAAATGTTGTTTATTCCTGTGATGGCAGTGCTAAATGTTTAGCATCATTACTCCAGTCTTTAGTGTCACACAATCCTTCAGAAATCATTCTAATATGCTGATTTAGTGATCAAACCTTAAACGCATAAATCGGGTCTTTAACGACCCGGGACGTTAGGCCTTTCAACCTTTTTCGTATTCCTCAATCTATTCATTATAAACAATATAACAAGAAAAAAGAATGTCTGTTTAGAAGTATACTGTAGGGTCGCTAACGACCTGATGTAATAGTGTAAGTATAGGCCTATATACTTACTTAAGTATAGGCCTTCTCTGATGACTCAATAAGCAATTCACCTTTATTTGTCAAGGTGGCAATGTCCTACCCAATGATGACGTGATGTTTCACTCATAATTACTGCAGGCATGAAACAAAATAATTCACAAGTATCCTCAGTGTAACAAAGTTAGTTGTTATGGGAAGAAGGAGGCGGGAACAGAGACTGCGCTCTATTCCCCACAGCGGCGAGGGCTCTTTGACAGCGCGTTCCTCCTTCCTTTTGGTTTCGGCAGAATCGGCACCAGTATGACGAGGTATGTTGTTATAGGAAGGAGGAGGCGGTAACCGGCGAACATTCAAACACTTTAATAAACATAAAATAAACAAACAACAAAACGAAAGTAAATGCGGCAGCCCCTTACGGACGACTGCCGCACACACATAAATATAACATACATAAAAGTCCAGGCCTGGTCCTAGTGTGCCTGGTTTTGCCCGGAACACAAAGTTTCTCTGGGGAACACAAAAGTTTTGTGGGGGAACACAAAAGATTAAAAAAATTAATAAAAAAAATCTCCCATCCCAAATTTTTCCCACCACCATGTCCTTTTAGGGGCTCCATAAAGTAGCCTACTGACTGCAATCAAATATTAGTGTCACTGTCATTTGATGGTGGTTCTGGTGAAGAAGCATTTAACAATATGTTTTATTTGATTATTTTATAATTGTCATTAAAATATCAGGAGAGTTTTATACTATTGCGGCAGTTAGAGATCCATCCATGTTAGACTTAGATCCGGGTCACTAAAGACCCGAATATGTAATAATGATTGGCATGTAAGGGTTAAGAAAAAAAAAAAAAAAAAAAAAATTGTGCTGCTAAATATTTTTGTGGAAAGCGAGATGATGGAAAGTTCAAAATATATATATATATTTTTTAATGGAATCTTCTGTAACATTATAAATGTCTTTATTGTCACTTTTGATCAATTGAATGTGTCTTTGCCTAATAGAATAGAATATATTAATTTCTTTAAGAAAAATCTTACTGACCCCAAACTTTTGAATGGTATATAATGATGTATGTTTATAGTCTTCTTTAGCTTCAGACAAGTGTACTAGCATTTGGAAAGAGGATATGCGATGTGTGCTTGTGAGGTTCCTCTCATGTTTTGCGGTTGAATTTGGCCACTGTCATTTGAGTGGAACTTCCTGCCATCTGCATTCAATCGAATTCTCTCACAGTTTCAGGCTTGCTTGTAAATATTGGAAGCAGCCTAAAGTGAACGCCATACTCAGTAATGTGGGCCAATACAGTTGTGTACAGAGCGTGTTTTTGGCTGCAGGCAGCGACAGGACAGCGATCGACTGCATTTGTGTGAAGAGCAGAGTGGATAATTTGTCTTTTATTGTAGTCAACTAAAATGAACTAGGTTAATAGGATGGCTGAAAGTGCATAGTAAAACTCCCTTCGTCATTTATTTATTGGAAATGGCACGCTGACCATTAGCTGTCATACCTTAGGAATGCTTCAAATGAGAATATTAGCCTTGACTCATTCAGTACAGGAATCTGTGCTTAGAATGTTGGATACCGTACAAGACTGCATTTCACTTTTAATTACAAAAGCCAGTTTTCATAATAAGGATTATGCGAGAACTGTATTATTAAGTCACAAACCTGACAGCCTGATTTAGTGTGAAAAGATATTTTGCAAGTGGAATTAATTTCACATAATCTTTGCAGGGAATTCAAGATAATTAAAATATGACATCAGAGGGCAAACAAAGAAACTAAAGCATTTTGCTTTAGAAGAAAAGCTTTATTTCTGTTCAAACATGGCTTATTTGTTTTGTCTCGAAGCTTAGAATGACTACTAAGACATACAGAAGCAAAATAGTTTCATAGCATATTTCTACATAAGTCGCATGCTTGCACACACACACACAAAACAGAAACGACATAATGCAACCGTGCGGCAGTATCACAGGGCCTCAGAGGTCCCGAAGTTCTTGTGTTTTTACAGAGCCCCAAAGAGCCGTCAAGATCCCATAAAAGCCAGAACAGCAGCCTGTGATGAGGAACCCTGAGTTTTAATGTTAAAGCTGTACGTTTTTACAGCACAAGACACAGGAATGTACCGCAGCCCCGCGCTACTGATGCATTTACATTGTAATCACCCCCAGTGTTTCACACTCTATAGATTTCAGTGGGCCTGATATAAAATTGTTTCCAGTACTCTACAAAACAAGAGCTCTATTTATGAACCCGTTTCTTATGCTGTTCATTATAAAACCACTTTCTTGTTCTATTTTTACAGTGCATTATTTTTAAAGGAACATGACAGGATTTAATTTTAATTGGTAATATTGTGAAATAATATTACAATTTAAAATAACTGCTTTCTCTTTTAGTACAGTATATTTTAACATGTTATTTTATTTCTGTGAGGCGAAGCTTAATTTTCAGCATCATTACTCCGGTCTTCTTCAGTGTCGCACGATCCTTCAGAAATCATTCTAATACTGATTTGCAGCTCAAGAAACATTTCTTATTATTATCAATGTTGAAAACAGTTGTGCTGCTTAATATTTTCGTGGAAACTGTGATGATAGAAAGTTCAAACGAACATCATTTATTTGAAACAGAAATCTTTTGTAACATTATAAATGTCTTTATTGTAAGTATTTCACACTCTATAAATTTCAGTGGGCCTGATGTAAAATTGTTTCCAGTAACTTGATCCTGGATGTAGAGTAAAATGAGAATTTGGGTTATGATTTAGATGTACGTTTTAGATGTACGCCATGTCTCATTGGACTCTAAATCTGTTTTGATGGGGTTATAGCTGTAAAAACAACCCAAAATCCTTGCTCCTTCAGTGAAACGGCCTTTTGATTATGGCAAACTTTTTTTTTTGATGATGATGATCATGCTCAAAATGGTTGAAGATAATGATTATTATGGCTGCATTGAAGATGACTGTTGATTTTCAGGATCATTGAACATCAATTTTGAAGGATGACCTGAATGCTTGTGGCTTTGGAAAGTTTTAAAAGTCTGTTAGATGGCAGGAGTTGCATTGTACCTTATTTGAACTGATGAGAGCATATCATTACGTACTGAAAAGCTGGAGCCATGAACCCCATCCTTGGCGCAATGGGCATCGCCACAGCTCTGCCAGGTTCTCCAGCACCACCCTGACCCAGCCTCACCCGCTGCTTACTGGAAACCGAAGCGATGGTGGTCCAGATCCACCCACGTCAGTCCACAGAGGACAGACTCGCAGGCTCCTCCAGTGACAGCCAGTCACCAGCAGGTGGTGACATGCCCAAGTGGAACCCAGTAATTACAATAAAGGTATGGAAGAACATCATCACTGATCATGATGTCTGGAAGCATGTCAAGACGTTTGTCACTGGCTTGATCACAGACAGGACAGATTATCTTTTGCATCTTTTTGTTTTGCTGTGAGTGTGTACACCACGGCTGATACCGTTTTAAAAGGAACATGTAATGCTTTAATCACTGCGAGCCTTGATTTATAAGGTTCTCTTGTCCAAGCGTGCGGTTTAGTCATTGGACCGTAGGAGTAGTGCAGGCAGTGTTTTGTGTTTGTTTGTGTTCAGTAGTCTGCGGTCAGTTCGGACTGTTTTAGGAGCCGAGGCTATTACGAAATCCGTGGGCAGCTGCATCTGTCCCACTCACGAGCAAACGATTCTTCGTCTTTTGTTTGATGAACTCTTGTGTAAAGTTACAGCGGATCTTCAAGCATATTATTTATAACTTAATTTTGTCTGTGCTACTGAAAGTAATCATTTCATGTGGTTGCAAAAGAGAAACCCCATATGCTAAAAATTCAGTTTTTATTTACTTAACATCCATAGTGTTCCAAACCCATAAGCTATTTTTTGGTCCAAGGAATCTACTTTATGCAGCTCTTTTGCATATGAAAAAAAAAAAAAAAAAGACAAATAAACCACATGCAACTACATTTATGATACTTTCATGGTGCTTTTATTGTATTTTTTCCACTTGGAACTTCGTAGACATTGTCATTATGAACTATATGAAATTTCTCCTTTTGTTTCCCACTTAAAAAAAGTATAAGACTGAGTAAATAATGACAGAATATTAATTACCATAGGTTTTTAGAGGACATATTTCTACTAAATGTGGAATAAGTACATTAAGTACAAAGTACTTTACTCGTTAATAGCTTTACACCTAAAAAAATACATAAGGGTGGTTTCTTTATAAGATTGCCATCATTTTCTTTTCGTTGCTTTTGGTACCATGTTTCCTTTTGACATGAAACATATACTAACAGCTGTATGCTGTAAAGAGACATTTTTCCCTAGTAGTGAAACACAAACTAGGATTTGTCTTCATACAGAAACTGCCATAACAAACCAATTTCATCCTTATGAAAATCATGGTCTGGTGGTACCAAAAATCTAGCAAGAAAAACAGTAATTTCAGTCCCTCCTAATTTAATCAAGTTTTTTCTCTCTCTGCCATGCACCTGTTTAAGGGAACCTTTCTCCAGATTTTGTTATTTTTCATTTTCTTGTGCCCTCAGGTTTCCAATCAAACCTTCATTACTAAGCAAACAAGTAAGTTCCGGGTCTTTGTGGAGACACAAATATAGACATGAGTTATGAGATTTAAAGATGGAAAAGGCTCTTGTCGATAATACGCAACATCTGCACTGGACACTGCAGCCGTGTTGAGGAGCGCAAGAGAGTTCAGTATAATCCCACTGCTCATGTGTCTGCTGACCTTGTCCCCTAAAGAAAAAAAGACAGGAGAGGACCATAAAAAGGAAAAAATAAAGACAGTGAGAGAAGCTGAGAAATAAAATATGAAAAAGATTTTTATATGTTTTTCTAATGAAAACGTGAATGGTATACTTGCTCAGGCAAAACTCACTGGCACTATAATAGACTGTTGTAGGTGGCTGCCATGCAGGGTGTTGCTATGCAGTCACTGTGTTTTGGGTAGGACTACAGCAAATAATCGATTAAATTGATTAACGAATTTCATTCAGTTGATTAATCGGGTATGTGTACCAGACACAGAGAAACTTTAGCAGCATCAATTTACAAAATGCATTTCTATAGAAAATACACATTTGAAAAATGGCAGATGGTCACAGAGTGAGTTTCTGTGGGAAAAGTGCTCAATCCAAGTGAAGCATTTAATAAGGCTCTCTCTTTTGCTTCAATGAGGCTTATAAGCACTTTCATGTCGGTTCCTGTCAGATAGGCCTACGTATGCTGTTTAATGTGCTTGAGATGCCATTTCCCCGGTGTATAGCTTATATTTGATGGTTATTTTCTTATCTGTAAAATGCTATAATTCATGAAAATATTTTTATTCTCATAAAGCAAGCGAGTCTCTATTAAATTTCACGCTTAAAGTAGGCATGAAATGAAAATTCACCCTACCTATTTTCTCAATGCATATAGATCTTATTGTGAACAGTTCATCCGCGCATTCTTTTACTATTTTATATTTGTAATTTTGAATCAAAATGTCATAACTGGACCATCTCATGAAAATGGCAGACTTCTCTATGGCGACATATGCAGGATTTCTCCAAACATTTGATCTGCTTAATACGGAGCCCCCCTAGTCCCACTTTGTCAAAAAAAATTTATTATAACTATCTCGTGGCCTCAAGATAGTATCTCGTGGCCTCAAGATACTATCTCGTGGCCTCAAGATACTATCTTGAGGCCACGAGTTACTATCTTGAGGCCACGAGTTACTATCTTGAGGCCACGAGATAGTATCTTGAGGCCACGAGTTACTTATCTTGAGGCCACGAGATAGTTATAATAAATTTTTTTGACAAAGTGGGACTAGGGGGGCTCCGTAGCTTAAAGTGTAACTTTGCAGATTTTATAACCCACTTTGTATTGTTACAATGTTGATAGTATATGTAAATTAACAATGTTTACTCATTCTCCGTGTTACCTGGACTGAGAAATTCACGTTTATTTGTCAGCAAAAACTTTCAGCTCCGGGTATTTCGTGAAAACTACAGATTATACTTTCACGTTTTTGTATCCCCGCCCACGGACAGTCAGATCGAGAGGTTTATTAACAGAACAGTTATTGTAATGGTAGGTTTATCACTGGAAATATGTCTACTATTTAAACAGTATAATGGTAAAATGGACCATGACTAAGGCAACATCTTTCTTGCCTGTATGTGACGATGTTTTACTTCAGGTGGTTTGTTGGAACTGACAGAATGGCAGTTTCTTTCAGTTTTTCCCCTCCGTTTGGCCTTAAACGCTGTGTTCGTGGTTATCCAGTTTGAAATGTTGATTACAAACACTGAGGTTTTGCAACGAGCTCCCACTAAACATTTATTCTTACACCCCGGAACAATACAAGTTAACACCATTATGACTAAAAGTTTGCTAAGAAGTATTTTCTACTAAAGAAAGGTTGTATTTGACTCTGTTAAGTGGATCCATATCAATATATCCATATTAGTGCATTATGGGTGTTGAAGTTTTTATTGCTATTTGGCGACAGCAGCCTTTGGCTGTTTTCTCTAGTCAGGTAGCACTGATTAAAAAAAAATGTTCACCTTTCTACTGTATAGGCAGCCAAGTTTTATTGAAAGCCCAGTAGTAAAGTACCCCATTAAACCCTGCCCCTGCAAGCTCACGTTTATCTGATGAATGGAACACACAGATCTCAAAATCCAATCAACGAACACTGCACAATACAGAAGAAAATATCTGTCGCTTCTTCAGTTTTATCACGACATTAAAACAAAAACATATGCATGCATGCACATCAAATAGACATTGGAGAGCAACAGAGAAAGGAAAGGCATCGCAAAAATGTTGACTAAATATTTGAAACAATGTATAATAATATGCCTTCCTGTTGCTCAAACAGTAGAGTATGGCCAAGGTCATGGGTTGGATTCCCAGGGAAAGCATGCACTGATTAAAATATGTACCTTTAGTGCAATGCAAGTCGCTTTGGATAAAAGCATCTGCCGAATGCATAAATGAAACTACTACACATGTTTGGATTCATAGCATTAGAGCCTTACCTAGGAACATTGGGCAGGATGTGGAGTTACTTTTTAAATTTACACGAAATACAATTTGTGTTTTTGTTTTAATCTGATTAATCAAAGAAATAATCAATAGTTTAATCCATTATGTAAATAACTGTTAGTTGCAGCCCTACAGTATTGGGAGGTTTATAAGTGGTTTCCTCCGCAAGTCTTTATGATACAGTATTATATGATGTAAGTCTTTAGGATTTAGTTCTTTTTAAGGTCCACCAGGTTGAACTAAACATTGTCAGACCCCTTTGAAAAATAATAGAGCGTCTTTTCTCAACAAGGCGCATGATATGAGGTATCACAGATGTCAACGTTTAATCCCTAACCCAAAGTATGAGCACTAGAAATAGTGATCCCCACCTTAGCTAGCCCCACTAATGAGTTAATAGGGCAGAAAAGGACAAACAAATATAGGAAGAAGAGTGCATCAGAGAGTTCTGATCGTCATTAACTGTTCAAGTGCGGATGAAATGATTTATGGTGCTAAAGTGGCCTGAGTAGAAATGTCACAGTGCATTTCCAGACGCATCTGTCTTGTGGTTTGGCAACTTGTTGTTCTGTAGACTCACATGTTTGACGTGCATTAGAATCGATACACACATACGTGCGCCAGCACAGCACACACATGCATACGCGCACCCCTTTCCCATCCTCTCTCTGAAGCCCCCGTGTTGTTCGGCAGTATTACTGCATCTTCACACATCTGCTTTCCATTGCCAGCATCTCTGAAGACTTGAAAACATTAAATGCTGGCACAAGCTCGGTCTCACTCCAGCACTTAATACTACACTTAGGTGACTTGAAAGGCAGGAGGCGAGAATTGTAGAAAATGAAGTGTCACCGAAATAAAAAATCACCTGAGATTACCACCAATTACATTTAATAATGGCCGACCCATCTGCTGATCAGATGCAGGGAGTCTCCGTGGTCCAGCGGTGGGGTTATGGGGTAGTTGGAGGTTGCACTGTGTCTTCTCCTACTGTATGGTACCGTAAAGCAGTGATACGTAACTGATTTTACTTCACGATTCAAAACTAGTAATAATGAAATTGTTTATCGAATAAAATGTTAACAAAAATTCAAACACTGATAGTGTCTACATGGCCAATACCCTGATAACTATGACAGACAAGAAAAACATGTTTACATGATATTTTAAATGATCAGGTTCCAGTTGTCCACATTTCAAAAGTAAAAAAAAGTATTTAAATACACTATATTCAAAAGTTTGGGGTCAGTACGAGTGTTTAATGTTTTTGAAAGAAGTCTCTTATGCTCACCAATTCTACATTCATTTGATCAGAAATACAGTAAAATATTAATATTGAAATATTATTCCAAAAAATATTATTACACTTTAAAATAACGTTTTTCTATTTTAATATATTTTAAAATGTAATATATACCTGTGATGGCAAAGCTGAATTTTCTGAATCATTACTCCAGTCTTCAGTGTCACATGATCCTCCAGAAATCATTCTAATATTCTGATTTGCTGCTCAAGAAACATTTCTTATTATTATCAATGTTGCAAACAGTTGTGATGCATAATATTTTTAGTAATAATGTTTTTAATACTAAATATTTTGGAAACCATGATTTTTTTTTTGAAAAGTTCAAAAGAACAGAATTTATTTGAAAGGAAAAAAAAGTCTTACTGACATCAAACTTTTGAATGTTAGTGTACAAAGTAAAATGGCAGTAATGGGCAAAAAAAAATTAGGCAATATTTCGTTCCCTATCATTTATGACCTTAACTTGATAGAAAAAACTAAGTAAGGGATTTGCATGACCTTACACTTGAAATGTATTACTATTAATATGAAATGTATTCATATTTCCATGATCTGCATAGACCTAAAATATGCTAAATAATTAACAGGACAAATTGACAGTTTAAAAATGTATGATTTACCAGTCCAATACTGTGTTATTAATTTTCAAATGATAGATGAAGCTGCGCCAAATAATGTAGAACTTGATTGGAAGCAGAGGTTTGACGTCAACAACAAAAGATATGGGAAGTGTTTTCTCTGTCTTTTTAAAAGTTGATGAGTCTGGATAAGATGGATATATAGTTTGCCATATAAAACAGTTTTGTTACTTGTTCAGAGTCCAAAAGCCTTGTTCTTTTGTACATGTGAAACAAGAACGACAATGGAAGTGTTTTTCTCTCCTCAGTTGGGTTCTGCTCTGTGATTTTGTTCTTGTGTTTTTTGTGAATGAAGCCAGCACCTCAGTCTGGTCTTCATCACAGAGCTCTGCTTTACCCTCAGGTGTTATTGGCACCGCACAGCAGTGATCTCACACCCAAGATTGTCATTCCTTAATGGCTTCTGAATGCTTGCAAACCTGCTCCCTCCTTTACCCTTTCTTACATTTGGTCAAGGATCAGAGGTCTTCTGAGAGTGCTGGAGAAACATCCTTCTCTGTGTTCTGTTCGGTCTTCCAGGTATAGATGAGAGCCAATGTGTTGGAACCCTCCTTTTCGGTTTGCTTTTTCATGACAAGTCTGGGAAAGAAGCTCTTTTGAAGGTTTAGTACTGTGTCTTAGGCACGTTAGTATTTTCATCCCAAAAAAAGCCAGTTATTTATATGTTTTGCTGTATTGTGTCAATAGGAAATATCAGTTTACATTTCCAAACATTCCTTTTGCCATTAATTGTAATAATCCAGTGATATTTTTGTAAGCACAAGGAGTCTGACAACAGCTGGTATGATCCACACGGAGATCTGATCTCACCATCTTCAAGTCCATCTGTGATTACATGAAGAAACAGAAAAAGACAGACTAAATCCAGAAGAACTGCGGCAACGTCTCCAAGATGCTTAAAGAAACTTTCATGCAAAGGACAAAAGCCTTTTTAAACACAAAGGGTGGTCACAGCAAATATTGTTTTGATTTAGTTAATAGAAGTACACTGATAAATAAAATCTATTTATGACATTATTTTTTTAAAGCATCCTCCCTTTACAGCATTTTCACACAAGTGCCTAAAACCTAAAACTGTAACTTTGTAAGAAAGTTTCTTCAAGTATCTTGGAAACGTTCACTGTAAAAAATGATCGTGATTTTAACAGTAAAATACTGTAAAAATGCTACAGTGCAAAACTGTTAATTGGTTAACAGAAAGTTTCCTTACTATATACGGTAAATAACTGTGATAGATCTAACGGTACATTTAATGTAATTTTACTGTAAAATACCGTTAAATTTACAGTTTTTGAAAGTGAAAAAGAACAACTCATTGTATAATTTACAGTGAAAAAACGTAAATTGACATTCCCACATTTCCCTGCGTGACATTTCACATTTGATGTATTTTTGTTGAAATAACTATGTTTCTTCTTAGTTTTCTTAGTTCTTTTCTAATCAGTTATGTACATTAGAGTTTTATGTTACATTTAATGTTGTTAAATTAATGTTTATTGCATTTTTAAAATTTCATGTGTGTTTATTACCATGATGGTGTTTAATGTTTGTGCGAATGACACTGTGCAGCTTCTATATAATAGTATTAACTTTCTTATGGAAGAGCTGCTTGCGATGAGCTTTGATTTATCATGTGACTATCATCACTGCTGTGATGATTGATGGTTGTCAGTATCATCACCATTACAATGGTTCAAACCAGATATTAATACATAAATAGGTTGGTAAATTAACATTATATCAGATAATGAAATACGTTTTATTACTGTAAGTTAAGTCTGTAAAACCAATAACGTCTCTTCCATATTTTTGACGGTAAAGTTCTGGCAACCACAGATGCCGGTATTTTACCGTAAAAATGGCATTTTATTTTTTACAGTGTTGCCACAATTATTCTGGATTTAGTCTGTCTTCATTTTTTCGGTTTCTTTCTGTTTTCTTCATTTTACAGTATCAGAAAATAGTTTGGTGTGATACGATTCCAAACTTAGGGGGACCAGAGGGGGGCCAAGCTTGTTGACATGGGGGCAACCCCCTAGAACCACCCCTGAGTCATGGCCTTGTGTGCTCCGTGGACTGTGGTGCTCATGTGATAGATCCAGGTTTGAATCTGGCCTCCCCAATAATTTCCTTTCCCCAGTTTCCATCAATGAAAAGTACAATAAAACAATAAAATAATACTTTACAATACAAGAAAACATAAATGTAGTTATGTATCTGATGATACATGATGTTTTTAGTGCAAGTAGGCTGTAGATTTCACTGCTCTCTGAGAATGAAAATTTCTCTCTTTTTCTCTTTGTCCCAGCTTTCACAACTGGAGCTTTCACAGACTTCCACCTTCTGACCAAAACCCAGAGCAATACTCAACAGTGAATTAGCATTGCAAATTCAATATAAATCCAATCTAACGTTCTGGCCAACTTTCCAAATGTGGAGAAGCTTCTCTTATGCAGCCTTGCCATGACTAATTCTGTTAATGTAACAAAGCATCAAATCTTTAAACCTCTCCCATATTTCTGTCCATATAGAGCAAGGCTTTTAGTGTGAACTTGGATCTGAATTGATGTAACTTGGCAGCACATTTTTGAAGTTGGACAATAGCACATTAAAAGAAGCAATGGAGTGTGAAGTATTCTGATGCTGAGCCATTTGCCTCATCTTCTGCAGGTTGGATGTGCAATTTCTGTGTTGCACAAGAGTTTGGATTAGGGAGAATCATCTAAACTCCAGTCATCACCTTCAGCAAAGGCTATCTGTGACTGTTGTTATGCATTTAATCAACAGTGCCTCAAAAGTTCACCTGCTATTTAAAAAAAAAACATACATATTTGTGTCTTCAGTTCTTCATGGGTGCTTAAATAGCTATTTCTCAGCTAAAGGGCTAACAGCAAAATTATTTTCACAAGCTGCCTCTTGTGGCTAGAATTGCATCCCAGATATGATATTGAGCAATTTTGAAAATCTGTAAAACAGATTTGGGTTGAAAATTCCTGTGGCTTCTGGCTATATTCTCTCTGCACCTCACATCAGCAGTATAGTTTACCTCTTGAGTTTGTGGCATTTGAAGGCATCTTGTGAAACCGATTATCAGTGTCGCATACAGGAATCAAGTCTAAAATAATATCATTTCTATTTAAAATGAGGGCACAGCATAATAGCATACTAAGGGATGCAAGAATAGGAGGACGTAATTAAAAGAACGTTAGTTTTTGTGTGAAACAAACTATCCCAAAGTCATTGACAAACCTCTCAATCCTCTCCAGATGAAGCAAGAAAGCCCATGGCTTTAGCTCAGCGAGCAGTGATGTTATACACAAACACAGTTTGACATTCCAACTGTGGGATTTTTAAGCCAAGAAAAAATGATCCAAAATTTCATAAACAACCATTATTCTTTGAATGGATGTGAAAAGTGTGTTTCTTCTGTTTATTGAGTTCAGGGAACCAGCATGTGCTTTACAGGACCTGCGTGTCTTGTGACCTTCTATACGTTTCCAAAACCTTCGTTTCCCTTTCTCTCATTTCTTCTCGCCTCTCAACACTAATTTCTTTGTTTCCCTCACATTTTTTTTTCTCCGCTTTAAAGCAATTACTTGTCACCTTCTCATTCTGTGTTCTTGGAAACAATATCTTAACAAACCTCTTTTGTCTTTGGTTTGGCTTTATACACATGTTTAGATACTGGTTTTGATCAGACTTCTATGGGTGATGCATTATTAATATCATCATTGTGAGCAAATGATATTGCTGAAATTGAGTTCATAAAAAACTTGAAAGATGCAGGCATCCACACTGGAGTCAAAAAGAGTGTTGGCTTTCCTTCAATAAATATTTCCAAACACTATGAAATCATATTTTATTTAGATTACATTTGCTAAACACTCAGTTTCTCCTTGTGCAATGACACACTGTATCTCACTTACCAGATAAATAAAGAGACATATGTTGATTTGAGTTGAGAATATTGGCCAGTCAGAATCAAGTATTACAGAAAGCCATGCAATGGATTTAAAAGTTTGAAAATGATTTAAAGATCTGTAATTGTTACCTATTGTATTTCCCACCTGTTTCAGTGAATGGAGGATGTATCTCATTCTGTTCAGAGAAGGAGTGCGTTCCTGAATTGACAGCAGAAGAAGGAACCTCACTGCGCTGTGGGCAGAACCTGCCAGTTCAGTCTGGAGCCCAGTACCACCACAGAAACCACTGTGAGCAGCCCGGACAGAACCTTCACCTGCAGGAGAGCCCTCACCGAGACGCCAGGTGAGCCCTCCCAGCACATTTGAGCACTTTGATAGGTCAGCAAGAACAGTCGATACATGAGAACTTACTTTTATGACAAAACTATAACTAAATGCGCTATTTAAAATATTTTGAAGCATAATGTTATTTACATTCAGTTTTGACCGATCCTCTACAGATCTGATCTCCATTATACTGACTGTTTATTTTCTAAAACACTGAAAGATCCTTGTAATTTATTTTGCATAACCTAATTAATATTCATGAGTGATTGTGAATACACCGGCTCCCACCTACACTACCATTTAAATGTTTGGGGTCAATTTTTTTTAAAAGAAAGGATTGCTGTTAAATTGATCAAAAGTGACAGTAAAGACATTTATAATGTTACAAAAGATTTCTATTTCAAATAAATGCTGTTCTTTTGAGCTTTCCATTCTTCAAAAAATCCAGAGAAAAATGTATAACGGTTTCCACAAAAATATTAAGCAGCACAAAAGTTTTAGAACATTTATAAGCTTTTCTTGAGCACCAAACTCAGAATATTAGAATGATTTCTGAAGCATCATGTGACTGAAGACTGAAGTAATGGGTGCTAAAATTCAGCTTTGCATCACAGAAATAAGTTACATTTTAAAATATACTAAAATAGTTTTAGAAGCATTAAAAAATCTTACCACCCCTGAGCTTTTGGACAGTAGTGTATTAGAACTCTTTTTTTTTATAAAAACAAAACAAAAACAAAGTGAAGCCAATGCGTTTATTTAGTTTACAAAAAAACCCAACAACAAGTATTTGCTTTTGATTTTTATCCATGATTATCAGTAAATGAAGTGATTGTAAGACAGAAAAGGACACCCATTAAACACATGTTCAAAATATAAAGTTGTCCACTAGGATCTAGTAAATCTAAAGTATGTAAAGCGTTTAAGATAGTCTCTGCAATTTTATAGTGATGCTAATTACATTAAGACTGTAAACATATCTGCAAGTCGAATAATGTAGGTTGTTTTATTAAATCTTAATGCAGTGTGGAACAAGTCAAACAAGCCCGTCAAACACTGCAGTACTGATGGTGCTTCTTGGCTGCGTTTGTTTTTTCAACGGCTAGGAAAAGAGACTGTCCTCGGTTTTCTGTTGACTTCTGTGTAGCCGCAGTACAGTTGAAACCCATAGTTTCAGCGAGGGATGCTTTCCAAAGTGCTTTCACTCAAACACACCATCCAACTCTCCCAATATTGTCGCTGAATGTCACTGCTCCTGCCAAACAGGAAGTGGCGAGCCTGAATGGAGCGACTCATGACAAACTTGAGGCTTCATTTAAGCCAGTGCGCTAGCATTAGCGGTTTCCCGCACCAAGTGAAAAGGGGACTTAGACCAAATCCTTCATAGGCTGCTGGGACAGAGGGCCCTTCTCACATCATTCCAGAGCTTTGCACACAAATCCATAATGAGCAAACTGACAGGAATTATTATGTGGAAGATCACAGCGACGCACAGGGAAATTTGACCCCCATTCAAGGGGGGCAAAGATTCCCACTATAATGGGGAGTATTGTAAACACAGAGCATTTAGAGGCCCACTATTATACCTCCAAAACCAGGTGACTTCTATTTAGCCCACATGTAGGCTTCGGTTAACCCCTATTGTGTCATCAAAGCCTGTCATACGCAGAGCATGACAGCCTGCCTGTATTCATCTCTCTCTTTTCTTATTTTTAAATACCCATTCATAGCCATAGTTCAGGCCAAATTTCCTGCTTCATTTATTCATGGAATTGCTCAGGAGCATTTGTGGTGGATCTAACCAGTGTTTAAAGTACACCGCAGTGGAAACCCATCCAGTGACTGTTTCCTGTAAGAGAGGGGAACATAAAAAGTAGCTTCTGATCAGCACAAACCAAACATTATAACCTAATAAGACCATGTAAGGGTTTGCAAAATGAATCTCCAATCGCACCGCTTTTGGTCAAGCATTGTCAGTGTTAACAGAGATGTTTGAGAGTGCAGGGTTGCCAGGACCGGAGCACAGAGCTTGTCTGTGTCCGTGGTGTCTGACAGTGAAGAGTTGGCAGTACTTTGAGAAACCCTGGCCTTTATCTTTCAACAGGCCCGGGCTGTTAATAGTGTGCATATTCTTCCTGCTCCGTTCTGCCTAAACGCTCCTCATATTCCTCTGGGTGTGTTTCATTCTCCCGCAGGTCTGCTGGCTTTCAGACGGAGCTTAGCTCGTTGTCTCTGTCCGGTGGCGTCAATGGGTGTCATGCTTTGCCATCGTACCCCATCAAACAGGAGGGCTACAAGCTGGGATCGGCCCTCAGCGACTTTTCAGGAGGGATGGGAGCAGGTCGCAGGGAATTGGACCGTTCGAACAGCGGTGGTGGCGGCGATGACAGTAACTTAGCAACTGTTCTGTCGTTGTCGGCAATGGCGGTGACTGTGTATCCATTTAATAATGAAGATGGCTCCTCCCCACTAGCTTTGTCCCCGAGCTCGCGTCACTCAGCAAGGCCGAATGCGAGCGGACTGAAGAGACGCTGCCTCTTGGTGGCCTCCCAGTCAGCCTCAGAGGGAATCGATATTGCCACCAACATCTGCTCCTCCCAGATGTCCTGCGTTAACGGCCTGCGCACCAATTCGTCGTCGCCTGCCGCCACCGCATTCTCCCACAAGCCTCTCCCCGCACCCAGCCCTCAGCTGCCGTCACCTTCCACCTCGTCCTGCCTCCTACCCCTGTCCTCCTCGTCATCATCCTCCTCAGTGTCATCAGTGGAGCATTGTGAGGACGTAGCCTCCATGCAGCCGGGGCCCGGCGTGGTTAACGGCAACGGGCTTGGACTTCTCATACAGCCCGGTGCTCTGCTGGACAGCTGTACGCTGAAACAGGAACCGGTGGATGATTTCTCTCCAAGTGAGGAGGAGCTCTTTCAGCATCATTATCACCATCTGACGAGCCGTGGAAGCCACTGCGTTGGGCATTCCCACCATCACCACCACCACCACCAAACAGGCCCCCCACGGCCGCCCATGCCCCCTCCCTACCACCTGCACCAGTACATGGGCTCCGGCCCAGGAGCTCTACTGCATCTTCAGAGCCAGCAGCAGTCTCCACCCTCAGGCCTGCTGGCACAACCCAAACCCACAGGCCTGGTCGAACAGCAGGTGAGCGACAGGGAGGACGTATTTAGCGATAAGCAGGTATGCCGCTGGATTGACTGCAGCGCGGCGTACGAGCAGCAGGAGGAACTGGTTAGGCATATCGAGAAGGTCCACATCGACCAGCGAAAGGGTGAGGACTTCACCTGCTTTTGGGCCGGATGTGTCCGTCGCTACAAACCCTTCAACGCCCGCTACAAGTTGCTCATCCACATGAGGGTTCACTCTGGAGAGAAACCTAACAAATGCATGGTAAGTGTTCACAGTTTTTAACTGGCTGTCAAAATGCTGTCACAATTTTCAGCAGTTTCCCATAATGAAATTCATATAGGTGATTATAACTGGCAGCTGAAATGGCCTTGAAAAGGCACAAGCAGAGCTGTTTTAGTTGGAATCCTCAATGACTTTAATTTGAGTGGAAAGTTCGTGAAACCGAATGCCGGTATAATTATTTTTAATTAAGAAGGTCAGTTTTAAAATCAGTTTTTAAGTATGTATTATCAACAGAGGACAACTTTTTCATTTCATTTAGCTTTATTAAATCAAATCTCTCTTTAAAGGCCCCCAAAAGTGTTTTTTATTTTATATCAGTTTTATTCGAGAAATAGATTTGGAAGGTTCTTTTTTTTTTTTGTAACAGCTTTCAATGGACCACCTATGCCTATTTTCCTCAGCATTTTTTTTCACAACCATATCACATGGCATGAGAAATTATGATTTCAACTGAAAGCGCAGCTAACTTTTCCAATGACGGGTTTGGGTATTTAATTGGACCTGTAGTCTAGCTGTATAAATAGTGTTGTGGTGAAACCCGAAACATCCAGGTAAAACTCTCTGATTCCACAAGTCAACACACTAATCAATGTCAAAGTGCCTTTCTAACATTCTCAGCTCAAGTGGAAAAATGGCTCCAGCCCCACCAATGCACAAGTCCAAATACACAATTAGTCCACAATTTGTGTAGGGTGAAACTCTGTTTGTTTTCTTAAGATCTCTCTCTCTGTCTTTTCTTCTTTTTAAATGATTGAGATAAAAAAAAAACTACACATCTGTTTAACATAACCAAATAATGCATGCACTTGATCCCTTTAAATGGGAGGTTTAAACATTTAGCCATCCCACAAGTATTAAGCGAATTGGTTCTTTATCCAAACTAAACACTTGGAAAAATGTAGTAGTCTGTAAGAACGAGCCGCAGAGGAGATGACCAGCGAAATTCCCCTCTGTTGCTCAATCGGAGAATGTTGGATTTCTTGTTAGATATATACTGTTTCATATACAAGACTCTGTCCAAAATGGCTTTCATTTTACAGATACTTAAACAGACTGCTTTAAAGTCGGCCTATTCCTTTAAATGCCAGGATACCTTTTTTTTATCCAAATGATCTGTTTAGCCATGTCAATAGGAGACAGCTGTACGCTAATATGTGGAGTATGTTACAAGGGTAACATTTATATTAGCTAGCATTAAGCAGTTCCGTTGAGGTTATTAATGACAAGTTTTGTTTATTCTCCAGAGGATGTTGGTTTACTCTGAGCTCACAGCAGCTGGAATGACAGATGTAATTAGATCATGTAAATTCCTTCCAAAACGTGCAACTATATTTTATGGCATTGCTGCGCACTCTGTGGCATAAACTTAGTAGTTCTGGAAATTATTTTCGTGACTTGTTGCATTTGCTGTTGTATTGTTTTGTTTGTTCATAATAATCTCTGTTTTTCTGACTTGCTCATACTTTTACAATAGTGTTGTAGGGGTTCTGTTCTTCCTCTCAAAACTCTGCCCGGAGTATGTGGCAAGACCAGCCCCGGTGTCACAGCCTGTCAGAACAAACAAACACTCATTTTATTTAGATTAAGCAGATGCTAAGATAGGAACAAACCCATGTATTGTTTTAAAATGGCTGGACATTGTTTCTGAATGTAGTGAGGGCCTCTCACTGAGTCATCTTTGTCAAAGTTTAGTCTATTTTGCTAGAATCATATTATCGTTTGCAAATAGGAGGAAAGAAAAATTTAAGTAAAACGTGAAAGCATTTTCAAGTGTTAGTAGTGTTTTATGAGTGATTCCCAACCCGCAGTATGTGTAGCCTAGGTGGTTGTTAAGAAGATTTCAGGTACTTGGAAAGATTTTGATTTTGTTTTGTTAACAACTACTGACATATTTAAATACATTTTTTAAGACAAAAATGTGTGTCAAAATACGTTTGTGAGGATTTAACTTGTAGCAGAATTATTTTACTAGTGAGTCTGTTTTTCGCAGTTTTGATTGTTTCTTTTTTAAAATGGTATTTCATGACATTTATTCTAATGGTAAGTTATATAATGTAATTTTGCAGTTGCAGTTAAAGTACAGACTCAGAGTGGTTCTGAATGAAAACTCATTTTGATTCATTCAGTACCTTGCAAACATTGGAGAAATAAAATGAATTTATTAATTATATTTACTCATAATGTGACCCTGCTCAGATTCTGCCGCGTTCTCATTTTTTCCTCCGAAACGATGTCTTCCTGTAACCTCCGCAGGAAGCAGCTTTTGTCTGAAACATGTTGCATTTGTGGCCCTCGTGCAATATACAAAGACATGTTGGTATTCTAGCTATTTGTGCAGAGGAAACCGATGAGACATTTTGATTTAGAAGCAAATGCTTCAGAAAACCCAGCTAATCCCTTTATTATCTTTCCAACTGCAGATTCCTCCGAGAGCGCACGAGGCATGATTCCTCTGCATCCAAACACAACACTCCCTCATTCCTCTCTCTCTCTCTGTCTCTCTCTTGCTTTGTCCTCTCTACCAGCTGTGCTGCATTTGATTTGTATCATGCAGCGCCTTGGCAGGAAAAAGTCATTATCACAAACATAGGACGGGGTTCTGACTCTCTGCTTTGTCACCGGCCATACCTGGACGCGGTTTTATGCCCCGGCACGTAAAAACGCAGCTACATCTGCAAGCACTGAGCTCGGCAGACCTCTTAAAACCGCTCTGCGGAGTTTGAGAGCCTCTTTTTGGTTCACTCTCTCCAATTAAAAAGCACCGCGGGCTGTTTTGTGGTAGTCGGACAGCAGAGCAGAAGGCATCTAAAAGGAAACAACATAATCTTACTGCAATATCCTGTTGTGTTTCATGCCTAATTCAAGTGTTGTTTTAGTTTATTGGTTTTTTGCCCTTCTTGTCTGCATTAATATTAAAAATGTATCCAGCGACTACTGCCCCGACACTGTCCCAGGGCTCTTATACGTCAGTGCTGTACTGGATTCAACTTTGTATTTTAGATCACCTATCCCATTCCCAGCTCATGAAAATCATGTAAATGCTCATCAAAGCGTATCTGTTGATAATACTCATGTTGCTTATCCAGTTGATCATGTTTGATGAGCAGATCCATGCATCATTGGACATTGATGATTGTTTCTTTATTGAATTTCCTCTTGAATGTATTGGTTTAATCCTATTACATTAATATCTTGGCTTTGGTTTAGCGTGCTTGCAGTCGACATGACATTTTCTTGACATTTTCTGCAGTTTGTGTGCCTGCTGTGACAGGTTTAGTAAATGGGCTGTGTTCTGTTCTGTATTTTATGTGGTTAGTGTGTGTTTACTACTGTACTAAACAGTCACTGAGTTCTCATAGTCATAATAAAACCGTATTAATTCCTCTAACCTTTTAGATTTTACTATGGCTTTTCCTGCAACATCTGTGCTGACATTCATACAGACATGTCTGATGCAAATATGTCAGTGTATTTTGGAACAGGATTGTTTGTTCAATCATTTATTTCTTGCGTTTTTTTGTCATCTAGTTTTTTCAAGTTGTCTTTTCATGTCTTTTCAAGTAGTTTAAAATATTAAATCAAACATTTTCCTCACCTATGGTTTTATTTAATCAGGGTTGGAAAAATTAGCAAAATATATATTTTGATATATATCAATTATTAAAAATTATTTAAAAATATAATTCAATTATTACTTTACTTAATAGTTTGCCCATTAATGTTTCTCATTTGTGAATATTCAGTTTACTAGATCTCATAGGACAGGTTTTTGCAATTAATATTGCATTTGTGACCTAAAGCAGTGAATTTTTCTGAGCAATGCACACCCATTTCCTTGTATTTCTCATCTCTGTCGTCGTCACCATCACCAGACAGTTGGTCATTGAACATTTGGCTCACAAAAAAGTATGTTTTTACTTTTAAATAACATTTCGTAATATAAACGGATATTAGGATTTACTTCCTAAACCACACCTTTTTTGTTACCTCATCAAAATAATTGCAGAGCCACTCTTATAGCGCATTCGTTTCGAAGTTTGAACATAACGTTACAGGCCTTTGCTTGAAGGAAAATTGGCTCAAACAACCTGCTGGAAAAAACATAGATCATGGAATTTCCTTCCCCCCCCCCTCTTTGCCAGTGTGAAACCGGCAAACGTATATATAAAGATTTATTAGACTGATTTTTGGATGGACGCTCAGAATTCTCCAGCAGCAGACGGCCCAGACCCTAACCAAAATGGCGTGTTTTGGAGTAAATGGAGGCTTTTGTAAGCAATCAACACAGATGCTGGAGATGAAACGGCTCGTGCCATTAGCTAATTAAAACGCATGGCCTGTGCATGAGCTGACTTTTTCCTCTGAATGCACGGTGAAACCCGAGCCGTCTGGCTTGCCCCAGCAAAGGCAGCAAGTGGCGTTGATACTAATGTGGATGTACTAGAATGAGCTGCTGACATTTCTGCCCTGTCTATTTAACTTAGCAACTGCCAACTCTCTAAGCCCCATTATGCTAGCAGGTAGCGACAGTTACCTGCACTGACGCAGCAGGACTCATGGGCTGTTTCCTATCTGTCTCCACTCCATTTGCCGAAGCTTTGCATTCTAGGCGAATTTGTTTTAAACAGTGGCTCGGGGAGGTCATTCTGCTTGGGGTATTTAATAGGAAGGTGGAGTGAATGATTCCAATACAATCATTGTTCATATGAGTTTTCAGAAATGTCATAAATTTCACTTGAATCCAAGTTTCCAGATGGTACTGCAGAAGAATGCACACGGTCAGAATCGTTTTTTACAATTACAGCTCATAATTTGCAACCTTCAACTCGCTAATGTATCATCACATGAAAGTTACGGTTGAATTATATCTTTAATTTCAAGATCAACAAATCCGCCTCTTTTTTTTTTTGCTTGCTGTCAGATCCAATCTGAGACTCTACCGTCTTTTCGTCATACTAATAGCTAAGCAACGGAGACCA